TGACTTGGCACCAGTGACATGAATTTGCGGTGAGATAATGTGCTCTCTTGGAGAGCCAGCTGTACGTGCTTTTAGCACAAAACCCATCTCAGGTGTCCCTTCTGGATGTTTGGGGTCTGGGCTTGGGGCATTGCTTTGCCTTTCGGTGGAGCGCCCCGAGCCTTGCATCTCGTTGCACACTGTGGGTCCGGTCTGAAGCAATATGCAGAATGGGACAGAGCAGGTTGCAGAAATGCTCTCACACCGTGTCACCCTGTCCTGCACCAAAGACATGCATTTCCCTTAGAAGAAGGATGCAACTGCATTGGGGAAAATGCAGCTCTGATTAGTTGCAAACAACGCTGCCTTGCTGGGCTGTGTCTTCAGCGCAAGGGCAGCTCCTTCAGTGCATCTCTGGAGGCAGCAAGGGATGAAACCAGAGGGAGCTGTTAAAAGGTTAAATGAAAGAGTTTTGGTAGCTCCTTAATTTGGTGGGCAAAGGTTGAACAACAGCCAAGGCCAAATTGCTGAAGCTGGTGAATTTAAATTAGAAATGTGGTGCAAATATTTACCATTGAAGATAATCAGCTGTGGAAGCGACTTATCTGGAAATGTAATTAATTGTTGCTTGAATTCTGGGATATCTTTTTTTTTTTTCTCTCTCTGCCTTCAAAAAACACATTCTGATTCAGCCACAAGGCATCTGTATTTTATTTAGGAGCCTCTGAGTAAAACATGAAAATCCATGGCCTGGGTTATATAAGAAGTCAGGCTGTGTGACTCTATTAATCCTTTCCAGGCTTAAAAAAAATAAAAAAGTCTATCTTAGGGAAAAAAAATCAGCTACAAACCTGTTCCTCTGAGTTGTTTTTTTGCTGCTATAGCTGCTGCGGCGGTGGTGATTGTAACTCAGAGATAAGTACGGAGACTTTCATTTCCATCAGTCTCCTATTTTGCAGCTTTCTTGATGCAGTCGGGTTCACTTGTTATTGTCAGACTTACTTACTCCCACAGTGCGCTAGACGTGGCCCAGACTCTCAAGACCCCACATCCGCATCTCCGAAGAGCTCACAATCAAATGACAGTCGGAGACACACACGGCCGCCAAAGGCAGAGCAATGAATAGAGAAATTGCCGTGGGGTTTGCCACGAGAAGCATGGAGAAATGGATCTGTAAAACGAACAGGGAACAGGGTGGGGTACAGCAAATCAGCTCATTTGTGGATTAGATTTGAGGCACGTAGTCTTGGCTAGATAGACGCTGTCCAAAAAGAGAGCAGGCTCCCAAGGCGTGAGCCATGACTCGATCTGTATGCTGGAAGAGCTAAAAGTTTCTCCGATGACAGAGAGCTGAGACAACTGGCTTTGATTTAAGTAAGCAGGCGTCTAAGTCAAGGTGGAGGAATCCCATCCCTTATTTTTAACCCCGAAACTGAGGGCATCTGGTGTGGATTCTGTCCTAACTGATTCAGCCAAATCTAGGGGAACTGCAGCAGAATCTAGACCTCAGAGTCCTTTTCTGAGGTCCAACTCCAAAACTGATTTATTTCTGACAGCAGAAAATCATTCCCTATATTGCATTCCCCAGGATTTTTAGCCAAAACTCTTAAGTTCTTTAAGCAAATTGCATCAGAGGCTCTACAAATGTGATGCCCTCTGGAGATAGTCTCTTTCTGGAGCTGGAGAGCTGGCTACTACTCTTCTGCTACCCTTCCCAGGGCTGGAGGCATCCTCCAACAGCAGCGAGGGCACACAAAGACGCACGTGTGTGCCCCAGGCCAAAAATAATTAAGGGGAAACAGCAGTGCAAAAATGTTCCCAGCACTGATGGGTGCTGGGAAAGTGATGAACACATCACTTTCTTGGAGCACGGCAAATTGGAGCTTGCTCCTTTGCATCCTGTTTCCCTTGCCGGTCCCCTGCGGTGCCCAGTCTCCTGCCATCCTGTGCTGCAGAAGCAGGTGCTCTCTTGGGTATGCGTTGCTTCAGCGTTTGCTCTCTGGCTGTGTGTGGGCTGCAACATCAACGTTCCTGAAAAAGCTTCCTGAAGCAGAAACCTCTCAAAAAGGCAGTTCTGTGGGGAACTTGGGAGTCTTTCTAGGCCATTGCACTTTCCAAGTGGCCTTATTCGTTATTTTGCTTCCTGACAAACCATTAAGAGAGAGGGGGGTGCCTACCTTTATTTCTACACCTTACCTGGGTAGCCACACCTGAGGCCTGGAATCGGCTTGCTGGAGAAGACCTAATTGTAGACCAGGACTTCACTGTGCTCAGTTTTATACATGCACACGGAGCAAGGGATAGCTTCTATCCTCTGCATGTATAGCCCAAGAAACAGGGCACAGAGACTTCCCCAAATTCATTTGTGACAGAGGCAGGGATATCCACTCATTCTGGTTCCTCCCCCAGATTTGGTCCATGGGTAAGCAGAGGATGACATTTTCAAGGAAGACTTTCTGGTGACTCCTTAAAAGGTCAAGACATCTTTGTTTGTAACTGACCTTCAGAAATACACCAGAGCCACCTTCTACCGGTGATATTTCCTTTGAACCAACTACCTCAACTTCCAGGCCAACTGATCCTGAATCCCAGCTCGCTGCCAGAGCTGGGCTACAAACCTATACCACTTTTCCCCCAGTGAGACTCAAGGTCCTAGCTTTGTCCAGGAGTTGAGCTCAGCTGGGGTTTCATGAAGATCCTCAGGACTTCCTTTAAAGTCTTGCTCCTGAGTCAGATGTGTGGGAATGGAAAAGTGCCTGTGCTTGGACTGTGGTTTATTCTTCTCTAGAGATAGCAGGGTCTGTCCTGTAGTAGCCAAGGGCTGAGGATACAGAGAAAAGTTGAGGCTATATTGACATGATGAGGATGCATAGACATAGCATCAGGAAGGGCCAAGAAGATCCAGGCAGCAATCATGTCCCTCACTCTTGGGTCTTTTCTCTGTATTGGAAGCAACCAGAAGTCTCAATCCTAGAAAATCAGCTTATCAAACAGTAAATTATTGTTATCATTAAAAATTAAGTGTTTGGCTCTTGGAAAGGCTTAACTCTGAAATCCACCTATTGATCTCTCCAGCCACCTCTAGGGCAGACCCTGGAAACATTACCTCCTGGTGCAAAGTAAGATGGGAAGTATAAATGGGACTAGTTTAACATCTAGAAGATTGTGGAAGCCAATGGGCTCCTGCTGTGGTCATGCATGGTGGGCTCTGTCCTCTTCACCACAGGGTCTCTGGTGGTCATGGCAGAAAAGTCCCTCAGCTGGAGGATCCCCTCATGTTGGGGGAAAAAGCACCTGGTATAGAGCCACGGTACTGTGCGCTTTGGCTGTCCACCTGCACACACTGCAGAGGCCTGAACAGTTGGAAAGTGACAACTCCTCAGGCCAGAGATGCCTGGTGACAGGAGGAGGGAACAGGCACCTACCGAATGAATCTTGGGATTACTGCCTGCGTAACTGTGCTGTTTATCAGCCTCACCAGTACTGGCTCACTGAGCATCAAAGCAGTGGGAGGAAACAAGCAGAGAGCAATGCACATGTTGTAGGAGGAAAGCCTAAATTACCTTCCGGCCTCAACCCCGCAATAGAGAATTTAAAGTAAATGCAACTATAAAATGAGAGTGAGGTGGTTGGTGGTAAGGAGGGGGGGTCAGAAGGAAGTAAAGCTGCCTTGCCTTCCTGATGTGCCAGGAATTTCACTGGTGTGAGGACCTCCAGAGAAGATATCAGGGTGGCAGTCATTCCCTTGCAAATGTCCACTGCATGTCCCTTGCAACGAATTTCCCCTGCAAAGTTGCCTGCAATTAGAGCCCTCCTTTCTGAGCAGGGACAGGCTGGACAGCATCAGCAGCATGTGCTTCGGGCAGTCTGCCCCGCTCAGCAGAGTCGGCGCCTTTCCCAGACTGTAGCGTGGACAGGCTGAGACCCTGCTGTCAGATGCTCTGCCACCTGATTCATCTGGATTCATATCCCTGGCGTGTTTATGGAGAGTGAGAGCAAGGGGGAGTAAGGGCCTTATTTGCAGGGTTTGATGAGATGTTGCTGCTGCTTGTCACAGCCGCACTGGGCTGATGTATCTGGGAGGTCCCTTCTGATCTTCAGACCACTGACAGCGGCACATTGATAAAGCCATTGACTAGCACTGGGCTGCAAGCAGATGCCTGTGGGATGCCCTAAGAAAAGGCCTCACTGGGATATTCTCTGCAGTCGATCTGCCACCCCATCCCTCGTACATTTACTGAAAAGCACCCTAACTGAGCCACTGGGCTGCAAACGTGGTATACGGCAGCTTTGCTGGGTACAGGGTCCTTGCTCCCATTCCCTGTGAAAAGCAAAACTATTGTAGGCCCATTTCTGTTTTTTTCTTTTATATTTCAGGATTTTTTTTTTATTTGCTTCCTTGAATAAAGAATGTAGAGGGGAAAAGATTAGCTTAAAAGGCAAGTGTTGGCATATTTCTGAAGAGTTGCAAATTTCTTCCTGTGAAGTTGCTTGATAAACACTTTTCTTTCAAGGCTTTGAATGCAATACTGTCACTCCTCTAACCAACTTAGGAATCTGTCCTGCTACATCAGCATCTGGGGAGTTGCATTCCTACTCCCTTTGGCGCTGAGTCACTCAGCACTGCTGCCTTCCTGCGATGCACTCTTAGCTTGATTATTGGTTTGTTCAGCTTCAGGAGGCCATAAAGAGATCCATGACTCGGAAAACTGGATGATGTTCTGGTGATCTAGGCTGGCAAACTGATTTCTTGGCTTGGGAAGGGAAAAAAGTCCCCAAATGAAAGTAATATGTATGTGTGTAGACACACACACACACACACACACACAGATATATATGTATGTATATATAAACATATATTTATACACACACACATATCTCTATATGTGGTTGGAGTGTGTCTCACTATCAGCTGGTAGAGGGATGGTTAGTGTTTTCCTATGGACCTCTCAACTCAGTCTGTAGCGACTCTCCAGCAGCTAAAACAGGCCTAACATCTCCATCCTGTCCTTTCTCTGCAGACCTTCCGCTGGCCCGTTGCCAGCAATATCGATGGGAATGAGATCCTGGAGATCCAGGTGTTCAACTACAGCAAAGTCTTCACCAACAGGTGAGAGCGTGGTCTTCCCTTCCCTCCCACCTGTAGCACTCTGAGTCTGCTCCAGCTGGAAGAGGGAGCTCCTATTCAAGCTGGTGCCACTTTGGAGCCACATTCCTGTTTTGGTCTGGAGATTGGAGGGTGAGAAATGCATTGGTGATGTCTTCTGGGTAGGGCGAGGAAGCTCGTATCCAATCTTTTCTTTTCTCTGTCTTTGAGCAACACCGATTCCCTGACATAGAGGGCAAAATGAGAATTGACACACCCAAATGCCTAAAATTATAGAGTAGATTCATCTTCAGCACTTCAATAAACATCTGTAAGTGTAGGCACCTGATATAATGCCCCTAAAGTAATGTATCTCAGTGAGTTATTTTGCTAATGGCTAGCAATGCGAACATGGTCACTTCCATATCTACCATCTTCCAAATCTATGATTTTCCATATCTGTGATTTTCCTAAGGTGCTGTCATGCGATTCAATGATATTTGCATGTGTTTAAGAGAAAATTAAGTATTTTAATTTGTTATCAAGGGGAAAGTTGATACTTAAATCTAGGTCTGCAGCTTTGCAAATTCTGTGCTTGCTGGTTTATCTTACTCTATTTGTATCCTAAGTTTTTCTCACTTAGATATTCAGATGGTTGCCAGAAATTCTATATGTGCAATGTTATTAACATTTTTAAGGTATCTTTCTAAGTATTGCCCACAAATCAGTAATGAGCTTGAGAGAGGAAACATTTGTCAGTCCCTTCTATTAACCTTAGTGCATTTGTCCTAGCTTTCATTGCGAAAATACAGGAGCATTTCACAAAAACATGAGCGATGCGAAGTGTCCTACAGACCCTTTACATTAAAGACAGGAACGGAGAACAAGATCTTTTGTTTCAAAGTTTGCAGGCTGCATTAACAGGCAGTTAATGGCCTAACCAAGGATAGAGGTTCTACTGAAGGGATTCACTGCCTTTTCTGCTGTGGGGCTGCAGATCATCTCATGGTCTTTCTTCTTCTATGAGCAATGGGAGAAGTCAAGTCTTCACAGGGATCACAGAAATGGGAAGGGAAAAAAGTATTGAGAATTGCTGTGAGGAAAGAGGGGAACCTAAGTCACATGTAATTGCAGTGCTAGTTCCTTGTGAGTAGGAAGAATTCACTCTGATGTGTGTTCAAAGGCATCAGTAGCTCCAGTGATAGCACTCATTGAAAATATGGAATAAAATAGGGCAAAAATTATATCATGTATTTATGTTGCAATTAATACTGCAGACTGTTTCAGTGGCTTAAAAAGCCACCACCATTCCACTAAATGGTAGGAGCTCACTTTCCCAAGCAGAAAGCAAAATGCTGCTAGAGGGGAATGAACTCACAGGCTTTGGCATCAAAGCAGAGTCCTTCCCATGCAAGAAGGGCTATCTTCTCATATATACGCTTCTATTGCAGGATATCACCCCAGCAGTTGTGTGGCCTGGGCCTCTCTGTTCTTCTCTAACCCTTTACACCCTATTGTCTACCCTTTTATAAATTCTTTCTGGTCCAGGGAAGGGCTCTTCCCTGTGTTTGGGCATTGCACTAATCTTTGGGTCTGGATCCCAGGTGAGGCATACACTGTTGTAATAATTTGTTGTAACAAATAATTATGGCAATCATTTTTGCCCTGAACTCCAGTGTCTTCCCTGGCTGGAGTTCAGCAGCATCTCCAGAACATCTCCCAAACACACACATACATGTTCCTTGCCAGCAAAACTTGCTTCAGAGCCAAAAAAGTGAAGCTGTGAAGCTGTGAAGCCGAGAAGAGACAGACAGATGGTGTGCAGGGTGGGAATGCTAAATAGATGTGATTTAAAAACAAGAAAAAAGAAAACAAAAAACTCCCAGAATTACCTATCTTTGTCCTGCTTTAAATGGGAGCTTGAGTAGCAGAAGGAGAGCTGAAAATTTTTGTTTTATTTGGTTGCTATCTGGGAAGGGAAAGGCAATGAGGCTCATTACCTGAACTCCCCAAGGGATCTCAGCCCAGCTGACCAATTTTGGTGAGGAATGGATGGCAGATATAGGCAGAAAGAGTGGCCCGGGGCTGGTGGTGAGATTTCTGCTCTGCCACAGGGTCCATACTTCGTGCAAGTCGCTCCAAGCCATGTTCAAACCAGTTGCTATGGGCACTTACATTGAGATAGCGTGGCTATGGCAAGTTCGTGAGTGATGTCTACCCAGGGCACATGGAACAGGAGATCTCAGCAGCCATAAATTGCCCAAGGGACTGTGTGTGAATTGATTCTTCGGAGACTGTGAGCAGCCTAGATGAGCGGATGGGAACCTGAGAGAGATAGAGGCAGACCTGGGACATTCACTTCCTTTCCTACCTGGCTATCAAGGACCAGTGTCATCTCCAGCCTCTGGAACCTGTCGTTCATACGGCATCTGTGCCGGCAGTTGCAGTTCTTTGGCTGGATGCTCCTTCAGTGCCTTCCTTGAGTTTGGACTCCCTTGATCTGAGCAAGCAGCCCTCTTGCTCTGGGTACTGTCACTGCTGTACAGTGCAAGGTATGTAGCCAAGGCAGGTTTATTATAACTGGATTTCTTGGAGCAGGCTCACCAGGAGGATGCCCTCATGCTGCCCCGTTCCCCAGGAGCTACCTCTCCTGTCTGCCCTCTCCCCATTGCTGTCCGGAGCTGTCTTCTCCCTCTTTGGAGAGGCAGGCAGCTCCTCTCCCTCCTCCTGCCCATTCAGCTTCTCTGGGAGTCCCTACCAGAGAAGCCAGAAGTCTCTGGCTTCTCCCTACTTCTTTGAGTAGGGAGGCCCTGTCTCCTCCAGCTCCCATGTGCTCTCCCCTTCCTTGAGCTAAGTGACATGAAGGGACAGAACAGCTCTCCATCCATGATGGCATGAAGCTCCAGGAGAAACCTCTTCCTGGAGTCTGAGGGACACCTGACTGGTTAGAGACTCATGGGGATTTTGGAAGGTATGGCTCTTAAAAACCTCCATCCAGTTCTTTCCTACGTCTCCCCAGCTCTGCAGATTGAGGACCAATCATCTCTCTGTCCCCACCCATTCCTCCCCCGTTTATACAGTTATGGATCATTTGGCTGTGTAGCCACCAATTGTCATGTCGGGCTGGTATGCAGCATGCTCTGCACGCTTTTCAGCGCTGGTGCCTCCTTGGAAGTCCAGTCCACTTTCTGTCAGTCTGAGGTGCAAATGCTTGATCTTGAAAGTGTTTCTGGCATGTGAGTACCCCTTTTGTCTGGCTTAGGCACATCTTAATATCCTCACGATTCTGTGTGCCTGCCTCCGTTCTCTCATGACTGACTGCTCTATCAGTCTTCACATTACTTGAAAATTTTATTATAAATTATATAAATTCTTTTTATGTCCCAGTCACAGATGTAGTAATCATGGGCTTAATAGCGAAATTGCACCATCATGCTGTCACTCAAAGATGATTCTCAACTGATTTCCTATTTTTAGGATTTCTCCATTAATCTGTTCTTGTTTCCTAGTGTGTAACATTAATAGCAGGCAGCATTAAACCAAGCATCTTATAAGATTATATTCCCCTTCATGCAGTTACTAGAAAAACTGACTTCAAAGAAGCAAACCAAGCTTGTTTTGACAGGCCCTATCTCCTCATAAAATTACCTTGAATGCCATTGATTACACTCCAGTTTTTTAATTGCTTATTCACTGAATTCTGTACAAGCTTTTCTATGATTCTCCCAGGATGGAGAGCCCAGCTCTCCCCATTCACCTTGTTTGAACACTTTGCTGTTCCGGGATTTCTCTATTATTCCAAATTTTATTAAAAATGATATCAGTGAATCAGAGGCTGCCAGTGCTTTTATAATGATTATACATAAACTGTTGCTGGCCTGGAACAATGAACAGAAACATTTATCCAGCACGTTTGCCCGTTTTGCATAGTTACAGGCCAGAACAGGGACTGCTGCTCCTGTTTCTAGGATGCATTTTGCCTTGAAGAGCAGTCTGTCCTTCTCAGCAGCACTGAGACCAGGTCCCAGTTCAAAGTCTCTTCTTGCCCTGCCATGGGCTTTAGCAGGACCAGCTCTGCTGACCTGGGCTTGGCCTCGGGAAAACCTGCCCCTTCATGCAGTGCATCCTCAGTGCCCGTTCCACCTGCGCTAAGCCACTGCCCCTTCCTCCTTCCCTCCTTCCTTTTACTCCGATGTGGAAAAGCCTCTCCCCCGTGTTCGGGCAGTGTCCCCTGCTCTGACAGCAATTCCCTTTCCCTGGGAAGAAAGCACCAAGCCAGGTAACACCAGATCACTGGTCAGATTAGACCACAGGGCTCAGTTTGGTCCATGTCACGGGGAGCATGCCTCTGTTTGCAGCAGGGTCGTAAATGCCCTGCCTTTGTCTATTGAACTTCTGGGCTGCCCAGAGGCTCGATCGGTGGCACTGGGCTAATTGCAGGAAGACACATAGTCTTGATTAAGAGACATACAGCGGTGAAGCATCCAGAACCTCCCTGCAGAGTTTTTTTGCAGAGTTTAATTACCTGCTCTCTCTTTCTCTGCTAAATTAAAAAGCCTTTCAGATTAGAAACAATGTCCTCATGGCAGCACTTTGTAGACAGTGCCAAAACAATCTCAGAAATATGTCTGTGGAAATGCATGTTCGATCTGTCCCCCAACAAGTCAGCGATACTCAGCACAGTGTATTCCCCTTGTAACTTGGCTGTTTGTCGTGGGCCACAGTAGCAATCCTCTCTGCAGTCCAGGACGTTAAGCATGAGCCTTTCCATGCCTGACACGGGACCACCTTCCTGAGAGCAGTGAGGAGGCTTAAAGGAGGCCCCATTTCTGCTCTGGTCTGGGTCAATTCTGATTTGGACAAGTAAAGTCGCTTGAGAGAGCAAAGCCTTTCAGATGACGTCATCACAGATACCGCATAGCAAGGGATGGTTTCTAGGTCTGGAGTCCTAAATCTACCTTATTTCACATTGCCATGGGCTGGCAACATTCAGATGGTCTGTAACTGCGCTTAAGGCAAGGTAT